GGCGGCGGTGGGTCAGCTGTTTCCTTGCACTCATGGCCCTCCTTTTCTAAACTCTCTGCCGCTGGGGCCACTTCGCGAAAGAGGTATTCGCACTTGGCCTAAATCTGATGTAGCTTTTCGTAGGTGGCATGCTCGCCTTGTGGGCCATGGTCCTACTAAGGCACTTTTTGATAGCGCTAGGATTTCTGATTTGTTAGAAGTCTCTATTCGCCCCCCCTACTTTTGATTCAGTGCTCTTTCCGATTGCTTTGAGTTTTTGGTCCTCTGAGTATAACACCTTTATTTTCCCCCTCGGCCCCATGTCTATTACCTTAAGGGATGTTGGGGCCCTGGTGAATCTGCCACCTTTGGGCGATACGATTTTCCCCGATATCTTAGTTTCTGGTGGCGCCCCAAAGTTTGGCAAGAACTACACCGATTCTTATTCAAGCCTGCAGACCCTCCACAATCATTCGAGCGCTGAGCCTACCTATGCTGAGCGAGTGGCCTTTCTTTTAGTTTGGCTTTGTAAATATGTTTTGTGTGTGCCAAGTATAAAGCCTTCTCTGAGTTATTTACCTATAGCGCACGAATTGGCGCGTGACAGGCCTTTGAATTTATGTTCTTTGTTTTTGGCTGCCCTTTATAGAGGCATGGCTTTTCTTCAGGCTCAATTAAAGAATGGTGCATCTCCCACTGGCAGTGGACCTCTTTGGTTCACTCAACTGTGGTTGAGATCCTATTTTCCATCGCTTGGTGCTCCATCCATTTCTCGTCCTTCTGCTAGCTGTTATGGGCTAGCTATGGAGCCCTTAACTCCTGTAAATATGTCCAGAAGGGATATTTTTTCATTCTTTTATTCTTTAGATTCAATCTTTTCCTTTTTTCCTTTTCCTCCTTTTTTGACTCCAAACTATGTACATCCCCCTTCCACCATAGATAGCGCGAGCACCTCCCTGCTCATTTGGATTCAGTTTTTAACTGGGAGGGAGCTATTTCATGATATTCTAAATGGGACTAATGCCAAAGCAGGGGTAGAAATTTATGCTCCCCAATTTTTTGCTCGCCAGCTTGGATTTGGCCAAACTTGGCCTGTTCCTTTTTGCTATTCGAAGAACTTAATTGACCGTTTTCATACCATTAATAAGGTGGAAGCAGAGGCTATAAACGCTCGCAACCTCCATTTATCAAGCCACTTTTCATTAGCTCCTTTTAATTCTTGTCATGCCACTCACCCTCTTTTTGAACAACTCTGGCCATCGGTGAAGCGCAGATTATTTGCGACTGAGGCCAGTCGTGCCTTTCATTCATTAGACCAACCGAGTATTTCTTCTCCTCCTCCTGTTCTGGTCACTCCTTTGTCTGTTCGGAGCCCATCTCCTTCTCGTCGCGCTAAACAGTCTGCTCGTCCATCTTCTTTTCTCCCTGCTAAGCCTACTACGGCCAAGAGTACTCCAAGCCGCAAATGGCCAGCCTCAGCATCTCCCATTCTGGAGGATGATGATGATGATGATGCCCCTCTTATCGTCAGGAGGAAGGTAATTAAATTGGTCTGTTTACAAATATGCTTTTCCACATTTGAAACTTTTCTGTGTACTGATGATCTTTTGGACTTTTCAGAAAAGCTCAGCCTCTCCTTCAAAGGCTTTGGCATCGACAACTCTTGCTCCATCATCCTCTGCTGAGGCTACTTCATCCAAATCGGTTGATGAAGGGACCATGCTTAAAGATACATTTTCAGTCCCAAAGTCTTCATCACAACCCATGGATGAGCCACCTTCCTCTCAGGGCGTCGACCCCCCAAACGTCGAAGCAGAAGGTAATTCAGTTTTTTGATGTATTACCTTCGCTCGTGCTATTGGTCTCTGATCCGTTGCTCTTGAGCTTTGCAGGTACTCCTATGAGTCCGCCCGTTGTGGCAACATCTTCTGGCTCGGACAAGGGAAAGTCCTCACGAATGGATGAGTCGTTGGAGGCAAGCTTGGCTGAGGGCGCCCCATCTTCTACGATTGTCGACGAGGTAGTTTTTCTTTTTGCTTCATTTCTATTTCCACCTTGTTCATTGTAGTGAGGATTTTCAATATTGGCGGTCTTCTTTGCAGGACGCTGACAGGATTGTACGTTCTATCCAAGACTTGTTTGCTTCCTGGGGGCAAATTCAGACGTTTCGCCCTGCTCCATCCGATCGTCCTGCTACTTCTTCCGAAGAGGATTTGAAATTCTTGAAGGAGTTGGTATTTGAATACGTATCCTTCATGGATATGGACATTGGAAGGGCTAGTGCTGCCAGACATAAGGATGAAGTTGAGCACTTGAGTGCAAAGTTAGAGCAAGCACTGATGCTTTCGTCGCTCAATCTTTCTACCGACTTTAAAGCGACGTTGAAGGTCATTCACTCCGAGGTCCTTTCTATGCTGGCCAAGAATGCTGAACTAAAGGCCAAGCGTACTCAATATCTTCGAGCCGTAGCTGAGAAAGAGTCTTTGCGCATGGAGATCAACAAGGCTAAAGACGAGTTGAAAGAAATCTCTTCCGAAGTCATGATTGAAGACTCTTTGATGGTTAACCTGGCTGCTCAGATGAGGGAACTTCAAGCCAAAATGGACGATTGCAGGGCGAGGATGGCTGCTAAAAAGCGCAACGCCTCCCAGGGAATTGAGCGAACTAAGTCCTTGGTCGAGCAGTACAAGAAGTTGGAGGTTGATGATGATGACGTCGCGGCTGAATTGAACATCACTTCTTCTCGACAGAACGAGGATTGAGAAAAACTTAGGGAACGAATTCGTTCTTTATGGGGTAGACTGTAATTAAGACATACGATGTCTTTTCTCTTTTGTAATTTTGTTCATTATTAACGAACATTAACTTCTTGTGCATTTATTTGACATTTATTTTCTAATCATCAATTCTTTAAGCACTTAACTGCTTTGCACTAAGAACCTTGTCCATTCCCTTTTAATATTCCCACTACTGTTCCCAAGACTTAGGGCCATTTAATTCCGTTTATTAGACAGAAATGTGGCTGTTCATATTCTGTCTTTTCATCTTCACCCCCTATAAATGCTTC